CGAGGCAGCGATTCTTAAAGTCTGATCGTCTCCACCTACAGATGAAGGAACCAGGCCAAGGTCACACAGCCGGGAAGCAGGCGCCTTAGGAGCTGGACTCAACTGCAAGTTTGTCTGTTTCTAATCACCACCCACGTGGGGAAACTGAACCCTGGAGAGGGACATGTGGTTCAGAAGTGGTGGCGCCAATATTCAAACTCGGCTCACAGTGGCTCCGAGACCTGTGTTTCCACCTTCAGAGAACATGGGGAGCAGGGAAGACTCTGAATGTGGAAGATTGTGGCGGACTTCTAGAACCAGAGACCCCGGGAAGGAGAGATGGGGGTTCTGGAGCAGAGCCAAGGGGCGTTTCCAGAGCTGAAGCAGCAGGGTGTGTGGTGATGGTGGAGTCCAGGGCCAAGACATATGGGAACTGGAGGGAGGACACCTGGCCTACCGGAGAGGAGAGGCAGACTAGGGTTCAGGAGCAGGTGGAGGGGGCTCCCAGGCCCAGGGGGCAAAGACTAGGGGAAAGGAGGGGCCTGCAGGGTTGGGGTGCCGGCTACTAAAAACCTTGACCAGGTCAAGCAGCAAAGGAGTTCTAGCATGGGGTGCATCTAGCTCTAGAACATGGAAATGAAAGGGCAAGCCATGGGGGAGGGAAGTCGAGTTCCGGAAATTGCAGGGGTGGGGTGGGGTGCTGCAAGTGGGTGCGAGAGATGAATAGGGATTCCCAGGCGATGAAATTGGGGATCCCAGAAGTGAGCCCCAGAAAACCTGGATATGGCTTCAAGGATCCTGCAAATGGACATCAAAGCCCCCAGAAGGAGGCATTAACAGGATGCCAGAAATGCGACCACTGAGAGGCCGGAAGTGTGCCTCAGGCACCCCGGAAGCAGGTAACTCGGTTCCCGGAAGGAAACCAGCCCCGATGCCCTCCTCACCCGGAAACGGGCGAGATGCCTTTTCCAAGAGCGCAGTCCGGAGAGGTAGATCTCCTGCAGCACGGGCGCACTGAGATCCACTTCTGCCCCGTCCGAGGTCAGCGAGCGTCGGAAGCCCACGGCCTGGTGTGCTTCAGACATGACGAGCTGGAGCCCGGAGAGGAGGGGAGAGGGTCATTCTCCAGGCCCGGGTCCCTCCCTCCCTCAAGCCCTGGAGTCCCGGACTCCAGGGCCCACCGCCCTCGGACTTAGGAGTCCAGCCCGCGACCTCTGCCTCCCTTAGACCCAGGATTGGGACCTTGGGCCCCTCCACCCTCTGACCCAGGAGTTGGAGATCCCAGCTGCCTGTACCCTCTGACCCATAAATTCAGGCCCGTGCTTCTCCCTCCTCGCGCAGACCCAGGAGTCTAGGACCCCACCTCACCCAGCACCCCCTCAAGTGCTAAGAGGGCTTGAGGGTCTTAGCTGCAGAAGCCGGTTTGTGGGGGTGGAGGTGGGGGACTTCAGTTGGGGGAACCTGGGAACAGATAGAGGTGCACAATTAACTCCCGTTAATCCCTGGGCTGCTGGCCTGAGAACGAGGTGCGGGAGCAGTATTCTCCCCCACAGGCCTCTCAGAATTCGGGAGTGGGGGAGGGAAACGGTTTCAGGGTGGATTTCAGGGTCTCGAGAAAATACACTAGTGTGGCCTTATATTAAAGAACACCTGCCGGATGCTGACATGGTCCACCCCATTTCCGCTTCCCAGGCCCAGGGGGGTGTCTATAAATGCATCTGCCTGGGGCAGCCCAGCGTCCCTTCCCCCGCCCTGGACCGGAGGGGATGGAAGGGGAAGCACCCTATTGCGCATGCCTCGCAGCGGGGATGCTGAGGTTCGGAGCAGAGATCAGCGTCCACGACTGGTGATGAGGCGGTCCGGACGCCCAGCCCAGGATCCAGGCCTGCAGCCGCCGCTGAAGGCTACTTACCACGTTGAGTCAGAGGTTCCTCAATCGGATGCCGGAGCCCACGCCCGCGTCCCGGTCCCTCACCCCGATTTAGCGCGTGGACCCCAAGCCTCCCGTTTTCATGTCCAATCCCAGTGCGGAGCCTACGACTTTGTCCACTTGCCCCCGGAGCTCCTGTCCCATTCCCAGTTCACCCAACTCCCGGGAACTCCGAATTCTGTCACGCGTGCGCTCAGCCGGGAATTCTAGCCCCTGGTTTCTTCGCTTTCCGATCCCCGCGTTCTATTCCCGCCCCCTTCCAATCCCTGCGTTCTATTCCCGCCCCCTTCAAGTTCTAGTGGCCAATCCCCTCCTTCCGTTTGATTCCCAGCCCTGTCTCCTGTAACAAGGCCTAATTCGCCAGGATTCTAGGCAGCTCCTTTCCTCAGAGCCCCGCGTTCTTGGGCGCCCCCTTCCTCTTTGACTCTTCAAGGACTGGGGCTCATCTCGCTAACACAGCCCTCGTCTGAGTGCAGCGTCACCTCATGTGGGTAGGGTGTCGAGCCCGGGCGCATCTCAGTCCTTCCATCCGGAGGGATGTTTTGCGATCGGCTCAGCGCAGTACAACCCTGCACGGAAGGTGCATTTGGAAGGCTTGCTCCAGCAGGCTAGATTCGAGTTAGGCAAAAGGACTAATGACATTGGATTAGGAGGGAGACTGATGTGTTAGGGCCCAGGCCCAGACTAAACCAACCAAAACCAAACACACAGCCATCAAGTCGAATCCGACTCACAGCGACCCCTCCTTAGGTTTCCAAGCCAGTATGGAAGTAGATTGCCCAGTCTCCCTTCTGAGGAGTGGCTGGTGGGTTTGAATCGCCAGCCTTCTGGTTAGCAATCTAATGCCTTAGGCACTAAGCCACCAGAGCTCTAAATGAGCAGACAAGAGACTGAAACATTAATTCTCGTTTTATTGGACTATAGATGTTAGTCTCGTCCTGGCTGGGTCCACAGCCTGGGAAGGGGGTAGGAGAGTAGGGAAGAGAGTTTCAGAATGAGCCCAGGGGTATAGTTAGGGGAGAGGAGACTTGGGGTCTTGGCCCTGGTACATGGATGGGCCGCAGGGGAAGAAATTTACTTGATATCACGCCGGCGGCGCCCATGACTAGGGCGGTCTTGAGGCTCATGGCGTCTTCCCCTAGGTCCCCTGAGAGCAAGCGGGGCGGCGGGGATACGGGCGTTCTGGTCCGTGGCATATTTGACCTAAGGATTATCTGCGCCTGCGGTACTGGCGCTGGGCCGTAGGAAGCCTGCTTTGGGCGTGGTGGAGGTGGGGCACGCTTACAGATCACAAACCCATCCCACAGATTGGCACACCAGCCTTAAAGCAAGCGTTGGCTCCCCTCCCTGTCCGCCAGTGTTTCTTGACTGCGTGGAGAGCTTAGCGGGTTATCACGGCGCGGGGCGAACGACCACGGGGCGGGGAGGCTCCTCTGTGCGTCCCACCCCCTCCTTGGAATAGCCGCTGTTACAGGAAGGAACCAGTTACCCAGAGTGCATTGGAGCGCACGCACAGGTGAGGCCACAGAAGGGGTTGCAGGAGTTGGTCTACTGCGGGCAGACCCACCTTAGCGCGGTCTCCAGCTGGGAGAGACCTGCAGGGGCTGGCAAGGCAGGGCACAGGCGTAAAGGACTGCCTGGCAAGTGTGGACAAGGACGACTGGCAGCAGTGTGGACAGTGTGGCAAGGAGGCTCCTGTACTGGGTACAGGAAGCTGGGGCCTGTCCCGCTGGTGTGGATACACCAGGCCCACAGCAGAGTGCCCTGGGAGGGCCAAGAAGAAGGTCAGTGGGGCCTCAGTTTCCCTCTCAGTATAATGGGGAGGTCTTGAGACCAAGCCCCAAAGCCCTCCATGGAAGGAAACCAGAGCAACACGGCACCGCTGCAGGTCCCAGCCAGGGTAGGAGAGGAAGCAGAGGCAGACCTCACAAAGAATCAGAAGCCCCCCAGTGACTCAGTTTCCCCAGCTGCAGCAAAGGACACTAGTCATTGTCATAACCTTGAGCCTGGCCTTGGAGGCTCCCGGGCAGGAAAACACAGCCCAAGAGAACGAGTGTTGGGGACAAGAAGGAGCAGCACTCTGGGAAACTTGGGGGCCCAGCTGTGCTAAGGCCCCCACCACCTCTGCACTGTGGCTGGAAGCTGTGCCCAGGGACGTGGGCGGCAGGACACCGGCGCCGAGAGAGGGGAGGACAAAGATCCTAACGATGGTGAGAGGCTCTGGGGGAGATGTCAATAGCAAAGGCCCTGAGAGGGGACCTAGGGGAAGGGGGTCTAGGGACCGAGGGTGGAGGGTGGCGAAGACCGAGGCAGAGGGGGGGACGACAGGGACCCCGAGAACCGCAGCCCCGGTCCTGGAGCTGGCTGCACGGGGCCCCAGGAAGCCAAGTCCCAGCTGAGGATTTATTGGCGTAAACGCGATATAAAAACATAAGTTATGAAAAACAGAGTCACGATGTGCCCACCCACCCCAGGCCCCGAAAACCCCCGTCTGTAGCAGGGAGGTGGGGGGCCCTGAAACCGCCTAAGAACACCACAGCCCTGGGCCCGTGGCGTGGCGGGCCGCCCTCAGCGCATCCGGTAGTCAGTGGAGCAGGAGAGCTCGCACAGCTGGCCCTTGAAGTCCAGGTCGATGGTGAAGTCCAGGTCACGCTGTGGGGAGAGGGGGTGTGAGGGCCGACGGGCCCGGGACAGCCACACCCTCCTCCAGTCCGGCTGGGCCCCCGACCCCAGGCTCAGGCCCAAACCTTCTCACATACACCCTCCCTGTGACCCTGCTTTCAGGCACGCATATGCCTCCAGGTGACAGGTCTGTGCACACCCCACAGGCACCTCCCACTGGCAATGCCCTCAGGGGCTCTGGTGTCTTGAGGTTCCCTTCCCTCCTGCCCAGTGACCCAGACACCCAGAGCCTCCTTCCTTCACCGCAAGCCTCCGTCCACCCCCCTTCCTGCTCTAGGCACTGCCCCTGCAGCTCCTCCCTTGAAGGTCGAACTCCAGGAGCCCCCTCAAGTCACCTCCTCTCCTCCCAAGCTTCAGGGAAGCCGGTCCCACCCTCGCCCTCTACCCAGACTCTTGGCAAAGCCACCAAGGCTCTCCGACCTTGTTTCTAGGCACCCCCCGAGGTGGCCGACAGCCCCCTCCCTGCTTCCGCCTCCTCAGTGTCATTCTAACGCGGGGTTCCAGACCCTCAGCACCACTGGCACTTGGGGCTGTCTTGTGGGCGCTGTCCCAGCCAAAGTGAACCATCGGAGGCAACCTGGCCGCTTTCCATGACAAAAGCAGCCTTTGCCCCGAGGACCAAAATTGTGATGTTGCCAGATGTCCTCCCAGGAACGTGGTTACCCATCTGAGAACCACTGCAGTAATCGCTTGTCACCTCCCTGCCACAGAGCATGTCCTTGGTCCCCGTCACTGCTCCCCTCTCCAACCCATCCACCAGCCTCAGCTTCTCGAGCCCAAAGCTGTTCCCTCACACCCCGTCTGGTCTGCCCACGAGCCCACCCAACTCAGTGTTTCCCCAGCTCTCACCGAGCAACCCTGCCCAGCTCCTCCCTGTCTCCGGCTTTCCCATGCCTCAGCCCACGACAGCTTCACACACACACACAACACACAACACACAACACACGCCTTCCTTTCTCCCCGGGCACGGAGCTGGGTGAGGGACGTCCTGGTCCTGCCTTCGTCTCACCCAGGCCCCTCCAGACTCCTGCCTGCCCCGTCCCATCTAGGAACAGGGTCTGAAGGCAGGGCTCAATGCTGGTCACAGATGCTCAATGCAATTGTGAACCGTGCAGACAGGTCCAGGGGGGACACAGCCCGGAAGGCAGGCAGGCAGGCCTGGGGGATGAGTGCGCCCCAGCCCCAAGCTGCCTCCCAGCAGGACCCCCAGCCCCCACAGCCTCCCCAGCCGGGCAGCCTCACGTTGTTCTTGGCGTTGGGCCGCATGCCGATGGTGCCAAAGATCTCCTCGCCCGTCTTCACGGTCAGGTAGTCCTCCATGTAGAATACTGTCTGCTTCCAGTGTGTGTATGGGGACTCGGGACCTGGGGGTGACGGGGCGGGTGAGCCAGGGTGCCACCAACGGGCCAGCAGGCCATGCCAGCCTTGGGGCCCTGGCCGTGCCCTCTGCTAGGAAAACACAGCCCTCAGGTG